CCTGTGCCGGCGCTACCAGGACTACGTGAGGCGGCACCCGGCCGCCACGGCCCAGCTCGAAGGCACCGTGCGCGGCCTCTCCTACCTGCTGCCAGGTACCGCCCCCGGGGACTCAGGAGTCCGTCCCCCGGCTTTCCTCCGCCGCGGGAAGGGGCGCGCTGTGTCCGCGTGTGTGCGCGCCGTGGAGGCCAGTTCACTCAAGCCGTCTCCCTCCCACGTGCAGGCACACCCACACACACGCATGTATATGTGGACGCGCACACGTGTGTATATGGTCATGCCTCAACTGCTCAAGCCTGCGTAGGGACCCGCTCCCCCGAGCCGGCTGCTGGCTGTCAACAAGCGGCTGGTTCTTGTGCACCTCAGCATAGGAGACAGGGGGCACCCCGGTGCTTGAACCGTAGAAAACGGGGTCTGCTCAAGTGAAAGGGTCTGGGATGTCGGCAGGGTGCGTGTCTCAGCCTCTGCCCTGAGGTGTGTGGTGAGGTGTGAAGGGCTGGTCAGGGCCAGGCTCCCCATCTGCCAGAGCCTGGGGAGCAGCTGACTGCCCAGATACACTCTTCAGTCTTGCTTTATAGCTGGCTCAGCTGCCCAGAGAGGCAGGAGCATCAGTCCTGAACTTGTAAAATTCCCACCCTCGTCCTCCCGACTTCCTACAGGCGATGACAGGCTCTTTCAAACATGAATGAGGGTTGCCCATCTAGCGCGTGACCAGAAGCAGGCAGGGTGCGATAATCGAGGGCCCATCTGACTTTTTCAGGACAGGGGGGCATTTCCTGAGGACTGTGGACACTTCCTCCCAACAGAGTTGTGCCGAGCTGCGAGCGCTCCACGGGCACAGGTTGATGCAACTCTTCTCCCGAGGAAATGAGTCTCATGATCTTTGGCTTAGTGATGACCCCTCCACTAACCTCTCTTATTTGCTCTCTCTTATTTCCCAGGTCGCTTCTCTGATTCTCATGAACTATCTGAGCTTGGTACGTATGCTGGAGAGTTGCCATAACTGTGCCAGCCACAGCCGTAGTGCAGAGATTACCGCGGAGTGGG